GACCAGCAAAGATCTACTCAATGCAATCTGTGGAGTCTGCAGGGTGATTCAACTCACCAGGAAGCAGAGCATGCATTTGGTCAGTCGAATTGCTCTCCATCCATTACTGGCATGTAACTACCAACATCCAGACCCATACTCATCAGCATCTGCAATCATCAACTGTATTGCATCTTACATCTCATACCACCACTTAATCAGCATCTGCAATCATCAACTGTATTACATCTCCTACCACCACTTTGGATAACTACCACACTCGGTGCATAACAGCACTTCCCATGGAGGCTCTTTGCTAAGTGTATATGTTTCCTGTGACTTTTGCTCTGCATCATGTGCCATTCAAAATACCTGGGTGTATGATCTTAACTGGGATCTCTCAGTGTTTCTGTGGTATAACCAAGGGCAGCAGATGAGTGCCATGACTTCCTGGAGCAGATGGTGCAGGCTGTCTCTGGAACCTCTGTGTCCTTTGGACAGTGGTCGCTACGGTAGCAGCATCCTCCCTGTGGAGGGAGGTGGGAGGTGGGTGGGAGAAGCAGGTGATGCAGAAAACACCTGGGAAAGGCCTTGTCCATAAGCAGATTACGGCCAAATTTTGACAACCCATGGATGGCTTGTTCTTTCCCTTGGTGCTTGCTCCCCCAGAAAGGCTGCAATGGCCTTCCACTCCTAGTGCCTCAAAAGGAAAATCATGTGTTTCTTTCTATTCATGCACCAAAAAGGCTAATGTTTTATCAAGCTCATCCTTCCCAGGAAGCTTGTTGCTGGTAACAATGAGAGGATGGATGCAGGTGAAAACACTTTGAGCGAAATCCATCTCCATGCTTTACAAGGAAATTTGTGTTGAAATGGAGAAGGATGAAGAACTGAAATCTGGAAGGCCCTCTTTGTCATTCTACAACCAAACAGAAATCAAACAACCTTCTCTAAATTTGATTACAATTTTGACATTAAAATAGGAAAAATAACATGTCAGTAAAGCACCTGTTTTACATCCTGCATCATTAATTATTTTGCTGAGCAAAGCATGTTTACAGCTTATATAATGAAACCATTGCATATGTCCACAGAGAAGACCAAGCAACCAAACTTTCAAACACAGAAACTTAAATCCCGATTGAAATACCTCCTATACAAAACTGAGTTTCAAATCCACTCATCCACCACTTCTTCCCAGTGGCTTTAGTAGGAGCAACCCATTGGAGCAACTCAGGTCCTTTATAGCAAGTGCTTAGAGATGGATTTAGGATCCCATATTTACATTTGAAAAGGGTTTCGTCTCTGCTATAGCTATGCTTAGTTTTAGCTCCATTACTTGTTCAAATAATGCAAGGCACAATAGCATTTTCATCGGGTACCACATTCAGACATACAAGTATAACAACATGATCTGAGGATATATCTAACGTCTAGTGTGTTATTGATGATTTCCAGGATGGGAGCTGAGGAGTGTAACATAAACCAAGGTTGGATGTTCTTCAGAAGCAACCAAGATGAACACAGAGCAAAGCTCCAGTGAGAAAGCCAGTGGCACCTTTCAGCTCCACAGAGGATCACCTTCAGTGGTGTTAAACTTTGCGAAATGACATCACTATAGGTGACCGATGGTCAGTGTCAGCAGCGGGCATTGGACACCCAGCTGCCATAAGGACTGCACTCGTGTAAGTATTGTGTGCCCCTCTCTTAGGATTTTACAAAAACTAGGTTTTTCAGTGGCTTGACCACAGTTGGTAGATATAATTGGATCTTCGTTTTCTTTTTATATTTAGAGATGGTAGGAGCAAGAGAAATAATAAAAGTCTCACCAAGTAAATGTTATCAATTTCAGTTTACTTTGCTCCATAAGGCTTCACTCTTCCTGTCTCATCAGCCATGCTAGCCATTAGTGCTGCATTTTAGAGGTGTCTACAACAAAATGATACAATTTAGTCATTTTCTATATTAATAATGTTCTAATTGAAAAATGTACTCTGATATAATTATCCTACATCTTTATGAGCCTGCCTCAGGAGCACAGTAAAAGAACAAATGGAGATATTTTTACCATGCCACGTGAGAAAAAATTCTCAGAGTTTTATGTGTATTATTGATGCACATTCTGATGATGGATTGGCATATCTCGTAACCTCTTAAAGCCAGATCCAGAAGAAGTTTTAGGCATGAAAACTAGGAACAGACTTAAATGTGGGACTTGTGCATAGGTGTCTCATGCCTTAGAAGGCCTTAGGGCATTTCCCCTGGCTTCCAGCTGCAGCTCCAAGGGAAATAGGCCTCCTACATGCCCTTTTCTGCCAGACCATGTGCAGACCTCTTATATACCCTTGACCATTTCAAATGGCGCTTCCTGCATGTCAGAGTCAAGCCTGTTATCCCGAGGAGTTATTATCCAGCCTAAATCAGTAGTTGTCTCCTTGGACTACCTGGAAGTCCTTGTGCTCCGCGATGATCACACAGCTCCCAGGCCCAAACTGAGTCTGGGACTGACAAGGAGACAGGAATTGTTAGTGCCAGTCACTGGGCTGCTATGTCAGTTCTCCCTGTACCTTGTAAATCAGCCTGGATGGAGCTTCTCTGGCTTTTACTCAAAGCCTGTTCCACATAAAACACACAAACCAGCATGGAAGCAAGGAGCAGTATCCACACTTCCCCTCTCCCATCCAGTTGTCTATAGAATTAGATTCTTTTGTTCTTCTCCTTCAGCCTGATACACCTTCAAAAAACAGGGTGGTGAAACTTGCCGTCCTTCAGCAGAGACTGTCGTCTGTAGATTAGCACCGTTTCCTAGGAGAGGGGATCTGTGAAAGTCACTACCAGCATAGAAAGGGAGGAGAGAGGAAATGCCCTGGCAAGGACTCTGGGTTGTTCCTCCTCCATCTGCCATGTTTTCAAGAGTCAGTCTGCTCTGTTTTTGCAAATAAATTTGTTCAAAATTGTTGTGCAGGGCAGTCTGCCCACAAGAGGGCTCAGGTCTCAACCCCAAGGGGCAAGACAGGCATCATCTCTTGGAGTTTCCCTGTGGTCAGCTCAAGGAAATCCTGTTTCTGCACACAGAATTCTCTGGGATTATTCTTCAGAGGCACCTAATCCCATGTGCTCTGCCATGGCACTTAGCTGTGGCTTTGGGACTCAGCTCCAGCTCTAACATAGCAGCACCAACACTAACCAGCTGTGTCCTCACCTAAATTTGACCCTCCTGCTGATCTGGGAAAGATATCCTAATGTGTAACCCTCAATGCACAAGTTGCCACCCTAAATCTGCCTCATCCTCATTGTATTGCAAAGAGTAAAAGCGCAGTGTGTGCAAGCCTGTGTGACCTCCTAATTGCTGAAGCTCTGGAAGTGCAGAGCTTCAGCAGCTCTGTGCTAGAGTCCATGAAATGGGATGGGACATAGAATTATAGAATCATTATCATTAGAAAAGGCCTTCATGATCATTGAGTCCAACTGTAAAACCTTCAGCACCATGCCTGGTAAACTATGTCCCTAAGTGCCTCATCTACATGTTTCTTGAACACTGCCAAGGATGGTGACTCCACGAGGTGCGTGGAGATACTACACACACCTACTACAGAGGACTTGACCAAGTATATTAGTGGTTGTGCTAATGGCACGTGGTATAGTGCCACCAGTTCAGGCAGCCCAGCTCAGTGGGCACACCAAGTCTTGCTGGGATCTTCACACAGACTGGAAGCAAACTGGTGGGCCCAGGAGCAACTTGAGAGTGAAGGTGGACAGCTCTGCTTTCTTCCTTCTGTCTGCTGGAGAAGTATCTCCAGCCACTGCCCTGGACAGTGGGCACCTTCAGGGCACCTTCTACCACTGGAGATAGGATTAGGAGCCTAGCAGCAGCATTAGGAGAAACCAGCAGAACCCAAATTCTCCTCTGTTTGCTGAGGGTCTTTGGTAGGTACCCTCCTCTGCTTACCTGGGATAGTTCATCCCAGTTGCTGTGGTGGAGCCATCTGTCTGCAGGCTCTTGAGGTAACTGAAGAGGAGGTGAGCAGCAGCAGCTGGCCACACATCACTAAAACACATTTTGGTCATACCTAAACACCACAGAAGAAGTTAGAGCATGTCCCTGCCAGTGACTGAGCTCAGCATTGTGGGCAGAGATAAAACTGGGTGAGGAGAAGAGGCCTACAACACAAGCACGGTGTCACCCACTGCCTGTCATCCATGGCAGCAGAGCTCCAAAGGCTGTGCGGGAGAACTTCTTTGGCCTGGTCCTTGCAATCAGAGCCTCTTGGGCTGTCCATCCAACCTGTCACCATGCCCTTCAACTGTCACAGAGTCATGGCACTCTCCCTGCCTTCTCAGTTCTCACTGAGAGCAAGCACATATTGCAGCTATCTGCATTGCCTCTGTGGCCCCAAGGCCCTTGTTGGCTATACAGTGAGGGATAGACAGGTTCACAGTGTCTTAATAAACAGGAGATTTATTCATAAAGCAACCTGTTCTCTGCTAAGGAGCTGTAGAGTCATAAAAAAGAAACAGCATAAATAAATAATCAGTTTTTATCTTAGCTGTAGAATTATTAGTCAAATAAGTAAACAGAAAACCAGATTATTGCTTTCATTGCCTAAATTTGTTGCGATTCTGGAAACAGTAATTCTTTGGGTCTTACCTGAGCCTCTGTGAAAGGACAAGAGATGAGATGACTCATACACCAGCAGCTACGGGTAGATACGTGTCTCTCAGCACAGCAGGGCCACAGGTTGGTCCTGGCACAAGTCCACACTCCACTCACAACCAGAGGTACCTGGAATCACCTTGGAAAATAACCTAGAAAAATCCTGGCCTTTGTATTTCACAGCCCGATTCACTTTCAGATATGGCAGCAATTTGTTCTGTCTGAATTTTGCTTAAAAGAAATCCCTTTTTTTCGCTCTTGGTACATGTCTTTATTTGTAGTAGAATGTTATTTTAAGACAGTTATGCCATAGGTTTTAGTGGCATCACTACTGACACCTGCTGCTTTTCTCTCTGTTGGGCCACAGGGTGAGACGCTCTGGGCTGTGCTTGGCCTCGGTCCCCCCCATCAGCGACGAGCGTGAGGGCAAGTCCATGTCCTGCTTGCCCTACTTCAACTGTCGTCAGCAGAAGCCCATCAAGAAGCTCTGGGCTGAGAAAGCTTTTCGGGAGGAGATTCAGAGTTTTCGGGAGATAATGAAGACCTTTCGGGAGAAGATCAAGGGCTTTCGAGAAAAAATCAAAGCTTTCAGGATGGCCATCCAAGCCTTCTGGGAAGAGGAAAAACCTATTTGGGAGGAAGAAACTGCCTTTCGTGAAGAAGAAAAGGTTTTTCAAGAGGAAGCAAAAGCCTTCTGGAGGGAGTATCGCGACTTCTGGAAGGAATACAATGCTTTCTGGAAGAAGGATGAGGATTTCTGGAAAGAGGACCAGCTCCTCTGGGAGAAAGACAAGGTTCTTCTGGATGAGGACAGAGTCCTATGGGCAGAAGAGATAGCCCTATGGGCAGACGAAAAAGCTCTCCTGGAGGAGGAGAGAGCTTTCTGGAAAGAAGAGGAAGCCCTCCGAGAAGATGAAAAGACCCTCCAGGAAGAGGAAATATTTATCTGGGAGGGAGCCTTTGATCCCGAGAGAGAAGATCGACTGCTTCTGGCTGTCGCTGTTGTTGCTGAGAGTCACGGCCCCACTAGCTGCAGAGCAAAAGCATAGCTGGAGAGAAAGAAGGAAAGCACAAATTATTCCGCTGGGCTCAGAAACCCACATATACTCATGTGGCTAATTTATTTAACTTGTGCTGGGCTTCAACTAGTTCTCTGGAAAAAAAAAGACCCTCAATAAAAGCCCTATGGAGTAAATCACAGTAGGGTTTTTGTTTATGGTATTTTCTTTAAGGTGGTTGTATTCCAGCTTACGGGATATGGCACTAATCAGTGATAGCCTTCTGATCCCCCATACCAAACAGTCACCACTAAGACTCTTCTAGGAGAAAACCTTAGATGTTTTATTGGATCAGAACCTCAACCTCCTGCAGACAGCCTTGCTCTGGGGAGCATCGTGACAGCACTTATTGCAGCAGGCTTACCCCACAGTGCAGTGACCTAGGTGAAAGCAGTCTTGGACTCAGCATCTCTGACATGGGCAGAGGACATGCAGAGAAGCAGGAGGGACTGAAGAAGGCAACAGTGTGAGGACAAGACACAAGCGGGAGGGAAAAGTGGCAGTGAGGGACTCCTCTCCTTGGCTAGGGGGCAATAAATTTAACAATGAAAGTATGCATGTGTGTGTAAAAGCCAGAGGAGAGGACACATAGAAGAATTATTTGTGTCATTTTTTACCTGCTGAGCTTTTCCTGCAGGGAACTCCCCACTCCTGCAGTGTACAGAAAAATTTCTTGCAGAAAAATCCTAGAAAAATCCCCCTGCAACGCAGCATGCAGCCCATATCTGGCAATATTTTAGGTGTGGTGAGCACAGACTCGATGCCTTCTAATGAGAAAAGCAGCCATGGCACAGAGATTGCTGTTTTCTTCCCTTTCCTTTTTAATACTCCTATTTTTAAAGGAAGAACTAATCTCACATGTTTCACATTCTCCAAAGTAGAGCTGTGAGGATTGATGTAGAGTTGAAGTTACATTTGATCCTCTGTATCTCCATTGCAGTGGGGAACAAAAGAAACCGTGAAAATTATTAATTGTGAAAATTTAGGTCAAATAGGGCATTGAATTTTTCTCTAGCATGACAGGCACAGTGCAAGAAGCCTTTACAGCTGCTCTTCTGAAGACTCTGACGACTTCTGAAGCTGTCAAGCATATTTAGGCTGTCACTCAAATCCATCATGCAAGCTCAGTCCTCTATGAAAAATCCATGAATATTTCTTGTTCAGTGAATAAACATCCCATAAAAAAGTCATCTGGCTCAGCCAAGGTCGGAATGTTTTACAGTCTTTGTTGTTGTTATTCTATTATTGCCAGGTAACCTAGGGATGGAAATGGACTGGAAATTCAGTTCAACTCCAGGCACGTGCCCTGCATTCGAACTTGATTATCAGGCAGTGTGGAGGGAGTGTTTCAGAAAATAACAGTATTCAAAAGGTACTTGTCATTTTATATATCTTAATGTTAAAAAAATCAAGAATTTAATTCAGTTATTCAAATGCACATGTCAAATTAACATCCTTTTAAACTAAAAATAGATATGTCTTTCCTAATGAAGAACCCAACGCACATGAAATGTTCTTTTGAGAAGTCCTCTTCACTTTTTCAGAGTGGCGCTTCCTTAGTGAGAGCGCTGCTGGTGTAGTGCACAAGTTGAGAAACTTGGAGAATTACATAGCACAGCACAGAAGAGCCTGGAGGAAAGGATGTCGCTGGAGGAAAGAATGTGCCGATATGATGTTAGACTGAGGATAGCTCCCCAGAAAGTATTTCATCTGGACTCGCCTCAAGAGCTGAAGATATCTGAAGCACCAACTCACCAAAATCAGGGTGGAAGGACCTGAAAAAAGCTGCCAAATCCCCCTGCACTTCAGAAGCAATGATGCCTGTAATATGCTGGGGAAACACTTGTCTCAGTTGTTTATTTCATTCAATTTCCAGCACTGGTGTGACACAATTACCACCTTCCTTCTAGAGCTCTACGAGCTCTACGGTATCTAAACTGAATCTCCATGACTGCAGTTTTGGCTTCTGATTGTAGTTACATGAACAGTTACACATAGTTACAGGAATGGAGATTGGTCCTTCCTTTCACCCCAAATTTATCCATCTGAACCCAAGTCCGCCTTGGCAAACCAGCTCCCTGGCTCCTGCTCTCTTGTGTCACCAATCAAGTATTCCCTCCAAAAGCCTGAAAATCCAGGAGTTGGTACCACGAAGCTAGGCAGAACAGAGCTAACCTGAGACCAGAATCAAACTTCTTGTGGCTGCTGTTCAAACACAGATGTATTGAAGAAAACAAGTGGAACAAGCAGTGTAAATTCACAGCAACCACGGGGACGAAACCCGAAAGCTTGGAAACAGGTTCAACCCAAACAAGCATAACATATTGGCAGAGCAGTTCACTTAGTTATCCCTGTGCAGTTTCGCAGGCATAGCAAATCCTGAGCTCATCTGCACATTTTTAAATGCAGTCTTGTCACTCAAAGCATTTCTGATATTTGCATCTATAAGCAAATGTGGGAGATGCAGAAGTGAGAAATAGTAAAGATCGTTATAAGCTGACAAGTGAAACTGGAGGTAAGAAGAGCATCCAGTTACACGGGTAAGTCCTGCCACTCTGCCAGGCAGTTGCAATGAGTTGTTGAATAGTCAAGCTAGAGGGAAAATGAACAGTTAGGATACTGCAACTGAAAATATCAGATGGGGAAAAAATAACCACATTTTTACACTTCAGAATTTGAAGAGTCTACTCTGAGTTTGTTTTAAAAAAGTCTTATAACACTGATATCTTCCTCTCTCCATTTTAAAATTTTCCACTACTTATGTGATTTAATCATTTCAGATTGTCAAATGTGAGGACATTTTCAAGGCTTTTGCCCCAAGTCAGCAAAAGTCCTTCAGTCTGCACTTGAAATCCCTCAGAGCCATGAGACGATCCAAACTCCCATCTTAATCCACATTTAATGAAGATGAAAACACAATGAACTATCCAGCCCCCCAGTTTTCCTCCTGAGTTATAACATCATCTTATACTGCTGCACAGTTTTTTGAGCATTTTGGTGTGGGAGCTTCTCAAGTAGAAATTTGTGTTATTGTTATTATTAAGGTGAAGTCATATTGCCAGAGCTCCACTGCCAGAGCTATCCACTCGATAGACTGAGAACACAGAAGTAGAAATTGTGTTGAAAAGCTGTAATTTGGCTGCTCATTTCCTTTAGGGAGTATTTTCTTTTTTCCCCTATTCTTACGGCTCAATGAAAAGGTTTGCGGCCCGACTGCCTTAGCGCAAGTTGGAGGAGCAGAAGTGAAGTCTTCACGGGAGCTGGTGGGTGCCTCTCTTGTGAACATGCTCCATCCCTGCTGACTCACAAAAACCCAGCAGCTTTCCCTGCAGGCACCATAGAAACGTCAAGCTGCAGCCCAAACACACAAATGGAAGCAATGTTACCCCCATACCTACTGTATATGCACTTAATTTTTAAAGTGATCTACCAAGTGATTTACCAAGACACGAATCTTTTTCTCATTTTAGCGGCACTCAGATATGCATCTTTGCCATTTGCACCTCTGTTTAAAAAAAAAAAAATCTCAAAGAGCATCCTGATGGAAAGTCATTAACACCATGAAATAATTGAAAGACGGAGAAGCAGTTCGATGAGGCCGAACTTTCCAGCTGATCAGCAGAGGAGCAATGATTCCTCATGAGCATTCGCAATCAGGGTTGATAGAGGCAGAAATGATTACCAGAATAGCTATCATCACAAGCATTTTTGTCCCAAAAGGGAGGACAATGGGAAGAGGGGATTTGTGTAAACTGATGCTCTTCCTAATGAAGGGTAAAATAGCAAAGCTAGCAAGGATCTCTCCAGAGGGAACTACCCTCCGGAAAGCTGCAGCAGAGTACTATATATACTTACAGTATATTACCTTCTCATTTGCAGATCTCAAGGCCTTTGGTGTTTTTATCCCACAGCTCTCCAGAGAGTGGTGCAAAGGACATTATTGCCATTTTAAAGAGGACAAGAAGACCCATGAGTTTGAGTGAGGTCATTCTGATTTGTAGCTAATTCACAAAAGACAACCCTCTTCCTTTCCAGATTTCAATATCATCCGTGCAACTAGCCTGTCAGTGGAACTTAGAACACTCATAGGTGAAGTCTTTTAAAAATATAGAGAATATTCCTTTTTTATTCACCAGATTAAATCAAATTTTCAACACCTCAGGAGATCCCTGCTTTCCAAGGTACATTTTGGGACCTGTGGACAGCCTTACCTGGTTCAGTTTATAGTGTTATTTGTGACTATATTAAAAATGCATTTGAACAAACCCCCAGTGGCCTGTTTTCTCATCATTTTTTACCTTTGCACCTATTTTTGCTGTATTCACAGATTTTACCAGTCATGACTTTATTTTGACTTTCCAGACTCTTCCGAAGCTTCCAAAAGTGTCACCGTGAGCAGAAGGGCAGTGTCTCCACAGGCACCCACTCCTCGGCCTCATTGCGGGTAGAGTGCTGAGAACACCGTGTCCCAGCAGCACCTCGTGGTTCCTGTGCAACCCAACATGTGTTGGGGCTATCCCACGGTCTCCAGGGAGCCAGGCTTGCCCAGAAACAGTGGTAAGAACAACACTGTGCTGTACACAGCTCCTAAACTCCACACTGTGATTTCCAGGCTCTGTTGTGAACACGTGATGACTCTTGACTTCATATACTTATGTACCACTCAACCATGCACTTAACACCTCTGCGGGTTGCTCACGTTACATGTTCACAGTCTTACTGCCAAGAACAGCCCCATACCTCTGCATGACTGTCATAATAAGAGGAATACTGTTTTTACCCGGTTTTGTTGACAATATCCTGTAGACATCATGGGAAACCTATGGGCTAGTTTTTCTGAAGGCAGCTGGGTCACCATATGGAGAGCTTTCCTCCTGCAGCAGGCATCACCTTCACTCCTCCGATGCATATGCCAGCAGCTGGAGCAATAAAATTAACCTTCCAACATCTTCTCTAAGGCTTTTTATTTCATCTATGCCCTTCTCCTTGCT